AATTCAATAATCACATTAAAATAAGTTTAGATATCTCAACATACAGAAAATAAACATAAATACAAGAATACCAGTGACAACCAAGACTTAGAGCTGCTAAATCTCATTCCCGGTGCTCCTAACTTGGCTGCGTACGGCTCAAAGGAACCAAACATATGAAATGCCATGAGGCTGCTGCCTCATCAAGCTTTAATAAATGGAATATGGTTTCTCACAAAGGACAGGCAGAAACAAAAAGAGATGGGAGCAAAAATTAATTCCAAGATCTTATTTCAAAATATGAAATCAGCAATTTCTTGAATATCAGCAGTCCATCATAGAGGAAAGATTGTAACCCAATCAACTGAACTTAGAAATACCTGCATGTGCAAAAGAATGATTCATAATTGAAAAACAGGATTGTGATCCGTCCATCGCTCAGATCAAAATTTCAGTTCTCATGCACATCCATTAGTGGGTTGGTGTGTCTTCGTGCATGTCATTATGTGTATTTGTCTCTGTCCGTGGCATGGCTGCTGACCCGGTCCCCTGGGGGTTGTGTCTGGGGTGGCTCGGGCCTCTTCTGTGTGGGCTGGAGAGGGGGGTGTTTACCTGGTGGTTCTTGGTTTCTTTGGGCCCTAAATGACCATTTGTGATTGTTCGGGGTTCATTAGTTCTTATTGAATTGGCAGCTTGTATATATTGCATATTTTGAAAACCACCATCCATGCTGAAAAGTACAGTTGTGGCTGGAAAATTTGAGTGTGACACAAGTATTGGGTTTTATAAAATTTGCTGCTTCACATCTGCAATTCACCCTGACATGCTGCCAATCAACTTCCTGTCCGATAGCAACCCATTCTTGAGAAATGAATGCGTGGAGTTTGTCAGAATTGGTGGGTTTTTCTCTGTCTGCTTGCTTCTTGAGGATTGACCACAAGTTCTCAGTGGTCTGGGGAGTTTCCTAAACGACTTAGCTATAACTTTTGTTCAGCAGCTAGAATTATTTTTGAAACAAGAACGGGACAACATTCCTCTCCCAAAAGTCCAGCAAGTGGTCTCATAAGTTCCCAGGTGTTTAGGGAACGTCGTTAAAAAAATGCAAATACTACACAACTGTAGATGTATCCCTGTCACAACTTTCCTTTATATGTAACATTTGCTCCGTTTAAAAATGTTCTCAGTTTATGACATTTTCAAATTATTTGCTTATATTCACATTTTACACAGCCTCCCAACAATGTTTGTAACTGCGGTTGTATAAAGTGAGCCTGACTGGAAATATAGATTAATATGACACATCAAATGAAAAATATTATCTCAAAGTAGAGACATTGCAGCCATGTTTTTTTTCACACTGAAACCACTTAGATCCGTTCTTTGTAACAGAGTAACACAGAACCATATTTCCCTTTGCCCGTGTGTCCTATTCTGTAGCTCCTCAGATGAAGAAGACAAAGTAGATGAGAGGGTGGACAGCAATGATCCAGAGGAGATGTTCCAGAACATTCAGTACCAGAAGGAGATCATCGCCAATATTCGGACTAGGCCCTGGCCAATGAGGCGCAAACTCAAAGTCCTAAAGTAACCATCTTTTTGATTGGGATCTCTGTGTAGACTGT